ACAGTGGGGAGGTTTCAGGACCTCCTATAGAGACACCCACTCCTCGCCGGAAACTGTTGCGCCGAGAGTCCAGAAGACGCGTTTCCGTTAAGGAGCTTTTATGCTGGAAGAGATTCCGTAAGCGCCCACTGTCGGATTCTGCTAGCGACTGACGGAGCCATGCTTAAGGGGCTCCGTTATAGACAGAGGTTTGCGGACTTAACCAAACTCTGAGGGACTAGGATTTTACGCACAAGCAGCTCATCATCCCATCACAATACCCTTAACTAATAATTCTCCTCATTGTCTTTTTTGCAATATTTCAGATAATTCACCTTACAAAACTTCTTGCAAACCTACTAGCGTAATCTGTTCATCACAATTATTTTTCAAATAGTCTGTAAATTTATTCCAATCTTCTGAGAATCTCTGGTCCCGCAAGTTTCGAATTCTTCCTGTTAATTTATCTAATTCTGCATCAATTTCATCCTCCATTCTTCTTTCGTCGGTAGTTCTTCTTGCTTCCATTTTTGTGCCAGTAATATTCTTGCTGCCGTCATTGCATATAAAAACAACTTACAGTCCTTTCTGTTTATATCATCCCCTACAATGCCAAGTAAAAATGCTTCTGATTTCTTAATAAATGTATATTTCAACATCTTTTTCATCTCATTATAAATCATTTCCCAGAAGTTTTTCAGTTTTTTACATTCCCACCACATGTGATAAAATGTTCCTTCTTTTTCTTTACATTCCCAACATTTGTTACTAACTTTATACATTTATGCTAATTTCACAGGCATAATATACCTCCTATACATCATTTTCATCACATTTTCTTTTAAGGCATTGCATGCAGTAAATTTTAATCCATCTTTCCACAGTTTTTCCCAATCCTCTAACTACATTATACCCAAAGTCTTTGGCCCAATGTATCATAACCAACTTTACCTCCTCATCTTTCAAATGCCATTCAAGCAGCGGTTTATACATTTTAGACAAAATTTTAATTTATTACTCTCCCCCTCCAAATCTCATCACTCCATCCACCCACATCTTTCATACTTTTGAAGTTCACCATGTTAAGATTCTAGGAACATCAGAAGAGCCCTCCTGAATCAAGCCAATGTCCCATTAGTTCCACCTCCTGCTTCCCACAGTGGTGGACCATCAGATGGCTCCAAGTTGCTCCCAGGCAGGGCATGAAGGCAACAGCACAACAGCTCCCACTCTCTCTCTCTCCACTTCTGACTCCAGGCAAGCTGGCATTAAGAGACATACTGCCTGCAGCAGAGGAAGGAGAACAAAGCCCTTGTGGCCAGTAGCCATTGGTAGCCTCCCCCCTCTGCACATGTGTCTATTCCTCTTTTAAAGCCATCCAAGTTAGTAGCCACCACTGCATCTTGTGGCAGTGAGTTCCATAGTTTAACTCTGCACCAGGGCCTTGCAGCACCAGGCAGAGGCCCAGGCCAGGTAGATAATGCCCCCCCCTTTTTTTTTTACCCTGGGGATAACTGAAGTCTTATAAATAAGTAAGTATATAAACAATTTTCACAAGAGTTATGCTGACAAATAATTTTATTTCAAGGCTTGAACCGTATCTGCATATAAAGACAAAATGGAAAATATAGATATACAGTAGTGCTTTTAAAAAATACATAGGGAATGTATGCTCACCGAGGCCCCCTTTGGAATCGGAGGCCTGGGCCAAGTGGCCCATATTGCCCCCCCCGCCCCCGTGTCTGGGCCTGCTCTGCACTGCACGAAGAAGTACTTTCTTTTGCCAGTTTTGAATCTTCCAGTGTTCAGCTTCATTGGATGTGTCTCCAAGTTCTAGTATTATGAGAGAAAGAAATCTCTTCCCACTTTATTTATTTCCCACCATTCCTCCAAAGAGCTCACAACAACCCTACGAGGTAGGTTAGGCTGAGGGAGACTGTGGCTGGCCCAAAAATCTGACCCAGTGAGTTTCATGGCTGAGAAGGGATTCAAACCCTGGTCTCCCAGATCCTAGCCCAGCCCTCTAACCACTACACTACACTGGCTCCACATTATTCCACACCATGCATGGTTTTGTATCGCTCAATCACACACCCCTCTCCTTTCCTTCTCCCTGTTGCTGTTTGTGAGCGGCCCAGCTGGCTCTCCCTCCACCGAATGCCAGGCTCCTTCTGCCACTTTGCTCCTTGGCACTACCAACACCCACATTAGGAAGCCGCCCTTTCCATTTCCATGAGTGTTGCAGTGGCAGGATAAATGCAAGAGCCTTTTCAATAATAAATGTATCTCTGGCAAACTGCATCCCCCACTTCCTTATAGCTATACCTGTAGCAAAGGAGTTCTCTGAGGAGTATGAACTCTCTGATCATTTTCTAATTTGTTTCTATGGCTTTCTAGACTTTCCTGAACAAATGGGACACTGGTAGGCAGCTAGTTGCCCGGCATTTGCTGCATCATCCTCACTGCTCACTCCACGTCCTGTAACGGGAAATAGGGTTGGGTCATGGGGAAGAATTCTTGCTGTACAGAGAGGGGGATCCATTTATGGATCTCTCTGTATAGTCACTTGGTTCCCAATGCCTCAAGCAGTCCTATCTCCTGTTCCCTCCTCCCCAATTCATGTACACATTCCTCCGATTTCAGAATATCTGTTCTGGGCTCTTGCCTACTTCACTGGTTTTCATTTAGCAATGCTAAAGCAACACTATGCAATAATGCCCAGTTAAATTGCCATTTTAGGATTCCTAGTGTGCCTTATACTGGTATAAATCAAAAGGGACTATTCAAAAGTGGGTCATATGATGCAGGTTGGCAGACCCTCCTAGTGCCCCTATTTTCCAGGGACATTCCTGAATTTACAAAAAGCCGTCCCGGTTTCTGATTTGATCCTAGAATGTCCCGCTTTTCCTTAGGACATCCCTATTTTCATCGGAGAAATGATGGAGGCTATGGCTGGGGTTCGGGATGCGGGTGGCGCTGTGGGTTAAACCACAGAGCCTAGGACTTGCCGATCGGAAGGTCAGCGGTTCGAATCCCCGCGACGGGGTGAACTCCCATTGCTCGGTCCCAGCTCCTGCCAACCTAGCAGTTCGAAAGCACGTCAAAGTGCAAGTAGATAAATAGGTACTGCTCAGGCGGGAAGGTAAACGGTGTTTCCGTGAGCTGCTCTGGTTCACCAGAAGCTTAGTCATGCTGGCCACATGACCCAGAAGCTGTACACCGGCTCCCTCAGCCAATAAAGTGAGATGAGCGCCGCAACCCCAGAGTCGGCCATGACTGGACCTAATGGTCAGGGGTCCCTTTACCTTTACCTTTATGGCTGGGAGTCAGAGGTGGCTGCTGGGTCTCAAACAGCTGAAGATCTTCATGATGGCACACAGCAGTTCTTCGGGGTTCCCAGCAGAGGTCCGAGCCCCACCCCACCCCAAACTCCTTGGTGATGTCTCATATGAGGTGCTGCACATCCAATTTGGTTCTCATCCACAGAAATGTGCCAATGCTATGGTTGCCAACTTTTCAAACGGCCCCCACGGCTGTGCCTTTCTCAGGAGTTTTGATTTTCAAACATTAGCAGGGTTACCTGCACCCCTTCTGAGATCTGTGGACCACGTTTCTCTTGAAGGAACAGTGAGCAGAGCTGTTTGTGTCTTTTTTTCCAGTTAGCAAGCCTGGCTGGGCTTGGTTGGCAGGTGCCGGCAATGTATGCTGACTCAGTCCTAAAGCTTTCCCAGAGACACACACAGAACTGGAAAGCACCATACGGTCTCCTTTCGAACCACTTCTGCAGATTGCCGAAACAGCCAGGCTCATTGTGCTTAACTAACACACAGCTTCCAGGAAAAGACTCGCATCAGATGAGGAATTCTGTAAGGTTTTATTGGAATTCTAAGGTTTTATTGTGTGCAGACAAGATTCCTTTTTTGGTCTTTGACATGATTTTCTTTGACAATAAGCTGTGGGAAACACTCTATAAAGGTTCACAAAACAAGACTAGGACACTGAGCAGCGTTGGGCTCTGCCTCCCCCCTCCCCCAGATTTCCAATCCTCAGCTGATGAGTTGCAGCTACAAACCAAGTCTGGCTGGGCCAAAAACTGGTCACAGAGAAGCTTGTTGTTTAGTCGTTTAGTTGTGTCCGACTCTTTGTGACCCAATAGACCAGAGCACGCCAGGCACTCCTGTCTTCCACTGCCTCCCGCAGTTTGGTCAAACTCATGCTGGTAGCTTCAACAACACTGTCCAACCATCTCGTCCTCTGTCGTCCCCTTCTCCTTGTGCCCTCAATCTTTCCCAACATCAGGGTCTTTTTCAGGGAGTCTTCTCTTCTCATGAGGTGGCCAAAGTATTGGAGTCTCAGCTTCAGGATCTGTGTGAGCACTCAGGGCTGATTTCCTTCAGAATGGATAGGTTTGATCTTCTTGCAGTCCATGGGACTCTCAAGAGTCTCTTCCAGCACCACAATTCAAAAGCATCAATTCTTCGGCGATCATTCTTCTTCATGGTCCAGCTCTCAGAGAAGCTACCTGAGCAGTAAAATTGGGGAGACAAGCCAAAGGCATCAGCTTGGGTCCTTGGGAGGCTCAAGGGTGATGGAGCAGGCCTTAGCCTAGCACAATGGCAGGGGCTGATGAGGAATGGGCACTGGCTGGGCCTGGTAAGAGCTGAGGAAGGCAGGCTGGGGCACCAGGTTGGCGAGAGAAAGGCAGGAGATAAGGGTTGCCTCATAACCACTCATGGAATCTGTATTTGTGGAGATCAGCCTAACCAAACGTCTTCTGTGAAGCCCTCAAGTAGAACCTGCGCCCACCAACCAACCTGAGCCCTCTCCCCAACTGCGAGTCCCTAAAACTGAGGCACACCTGAGAGACGCAGCCCAGCCACCACGGCTGTCACTTCCGCCTCTCCTTCCCGGCCGTGTACCACGTGGCGTGGGAGGGGGCTCCAGAAGCTGCTGAAGGCGCTCGCCCCACCCCTGCAGAGAAGTCCGCTTTGTACCGCAGGGGGTGGGGCTGTGTGGGCGGGGCGTGTCCCGAAGCCCCGCCCCTCCTCCCTGTCGCCTCGTGCAGCAGTCTCTCGCCTTGCCCCAGACTGCAGGAGCCAGAGACGCGCAGCATCCTCGCTCCGGACGCAGGTAACGGGGCTTGCTTCTCGTCGGAGGAGCCCATCTCCAGGGTGGGGCGGCTGCAGGAGGAGGGCAGGGAGGAAAGGGGGTTCGGCGGGAAGCGGAGACCGCTGTCCCTTCTCCTGTTCATATTTTCTTGCCCCCACCCCCGGGAAATTTTGGAGACGTGAGGCCGCAGAACCGGAGGCGGAGGGTGGGGTGGGCGATGAAGAGAGGTGGAAGCAGATGGAGTAGGAAAGGTGAGATGGAGGAAAGGAACGGCTAACCGCCCAGAGGAAATGAACGCATGAATAAAAAAAGACTGCATTCCTTTGCGCAAAGGTACAAGCACAGCGCTTGCTCGTGAGCAAACGTGCCCAAGATTGCTCTGTTAGGGAGAGACAGAGCCGAGGAAGAAAGAGATGAGCAGGAAGGAGGAAAGAGGCGAGTGGAGGAGCCACGGAGGTGGAGGAGAATAGATCTGGGATGCAGGCAAGGGCAGGGAAGGAGGGATGGAGATCTCGCTTGAAGCGGGGAGCGATGCCCTGCAAGGGAGCAGGATTTCCGGAGGGACGTAGTCGACGGGTCGGACCCTTGCAGCAAAAACATCAAGGAGTCTCCTGTCACCTTAGAGACTAACCCTTTTATTGCGCTTTTGTGGACCAGACTCCGCTTCCCCAGAGAAAAGGACGGCAAAGGGGGCAGGGCTGGGTCTCTTACGCTTTTGCTTCCTCTGCCTTAGTGACCCTCTCGGGTCCCCTCTGACGCAGCAGCCCCGGAGGGCGGCACCATTGGGCGCTGCCATCTTTCTCAGCGCCCTAGAGCTTTTCTTGGTATTCTTAGGAGGGTCTCCCTGTGGGAGGGGGCTGCCACCCCGCCCTTCCTCTTGCAGATCTTCCCGTTCTTCCGCCTTACAGACCCCACCGCCACATGCAGAAAGTGTTGGGAGGGAGGGGGAGAAATTCGTCGCCTGCCCAGAAATGCGTGTGTGTGTGAGAGAGAGGCTATACTGATGGAACGGATCCGGCATCCGATTTCCAAGACTGCCTAACGCGGGCATACTTGCTGTATCAGCGCCACATGGCTTCGGGGGGGGGGGGGAATTGCTGCAGTATCGCCCACAGGGTAGAGAGCCGTTGCCCTCGAACCAGTAACCTGATCTCCTTGGGTGGCGGACTCCAGCTGGGTGTCAGGAGCGCTGCGGTCACCGCGCCAAGGTCTAGGAATGTGGAAAACGCAGGTGCAGTCTGGGAAGGCTGGGTGCGGGACATGGCGGTGCCGCAGACCCTGTGCCAAGCGCTCTGCTGGCGAGGCTTTTTCTGCAGCTGCCTGTTCTGCAAGGGCAGCACCTTAGCCAGCCCTGCAGCAGCATCATGGTGGACTGCATTGCTGGTGCAGTCTAGACCGGTCCTTCGATTTCCTGTGGGGTAGGCGTTAAAGTGGGGGGGGGGCAAGGAAGCATCAGCACAGGCTGTTGTTGTTGTTCAGGCTGCAGATCTGCAGGTTGGCTGCAATGGACAGCAGTTTGGTCTGTCTCTTTAGCTGGTGACCAGGGAGGAACCTTCTCCATGTCAGCGCAGCTCCTTTATACGAACATACAATGAGCCATAGGTCTATGTAGTTCAGTATTGCTCACACTAAATGGCAGCAACTCTCGGGGGTTTCAGGCAGGAAATCCTGGAGAGCTGCTGCCAGTTGGTGTGGGGGATATAGAGCTACATGGACCAATGATCTGGCTCAGTATCAGCCAGACCATTGGTCCGTCTAATTTAGTATCATCCATTCCGCAGGCAGAAAACCACGCATAGGATTAGTGTTTTGGCTACAGTCACTTGCAGTGGATTTTCAGGTGGGACATTTCCAGTCCTGGAGATGCCAGGAAACTTTTGCATGCAAAGAAAATGCCCTGCCACTCAGCTGCGCCACTTCCCCACAAACCCAGGACTTTGCACAGCTCGAGATAAATGGCCTAAAATAATTGCAGTGGAATTCTAATACTGTCTGCCTTGAAAGACTTTATTTGTTCCGAGTGTTCACTGGGCTGGTTCTGCATAAACAGTGCACTCAGGCTATGCCCACTGGTGCTATTCTTACAACATGGGTGTAGCTGACCAATCATGTCAGTTCTGCCAAATTTTGTCCTCGCTCAGGGTGCCATATTACCAAAGTCTGCTCCATACGGAGCGTGCCTATTGATGTAGGGTGGGGAGAGGGAGGGAAGCAGCAAGACAAAGGCAGGCTTGATATCAAATTAAGGCATGACCATTAGGAAAAGGGGAGGAGTTGGGGTGTGCAGTAGATGGAAGTGGTTCATAGCAACAGATGCCCGTCTGACAAGCCCATGTCTGCCTCCTCCAAATTCCTATTTCTTTTATTTATTTATCCCACCATTCCTCCAAGGAACTCAAGGTGGCGTACATACTTCTCCGCTTCCTCATTTTATCCCCACAACAACCCTGTGAGGTAGGCTAGGCTGAGAGACGACGACGAGCCCAAGGTCACACACCCTGTAAGCTTCATGGCATGGTGGGAATTTGATCCCAGGTCCTAGTCGGGCAAACTAACCAGAAATACCACACTGGCTCTTAAATATTCCTTCTCATCTCTCTCTTCTCCACCCTTCCTCTCTTACATCCCCTTTCAGGGACCTTGGAAAGCTACCTGATATTGACTCCCACGATTTGTCCATCCAGCTCTGTATTATCTACCTGGACTGGCAGCAGCTCTCCAGGCTTTCAGGCAGGGCTGCCTCCCAGCCGTACCTGGAGAAGCAGAGATAAGACCTGGGACCTTCTGCATGCAGATTAGAGGCTCTGCTGCTCAACTATGAGCATAGCTCAGTGGTAGAGCATCTGCTTTGCATGCAGAAGGACCCAGGTTCAATCCCCGGTGTCTCCAAGGCTAGGAATGACCCTGTCTTTTAAACTCTGGAGAACTGCTGCCAGTCAGTGTAAACAGTACTGAGCTAAAAGGACCAATGGTCCAACTCAGTATAAGGCAGCATCCTATATCCCCCTCCTTCCATGAGCTTTAGTTTTACTAATTAGCAACCCACTGGGCCTGCTTTGGAAGGGGGGAGGTAGATGGTGCTCTTGGAGCCAGTTAAAACCTTCTGCGTCCTTTTCTGATGCAAATCACACACACACCTTTTCATATCTGAAAAGAGCTAATAGCAGTGGTGGAGGGATGGGGAGGAATTGGCAAAAGGTCACACCGAGGGAAAGGGTTCAATTAAACCCCCTTCCCCACAGCAGACCTTCCTGAGTTTTCAGAACAGCCGCTCACATACACAGCCCAACTGCTAATTAATTTTTAAAAAATAATGGGTTGTGTCCTAACCCTCACTCTCCAGCATTAAATCTGCTTTGTGCCTGTGAGTCATCTTGTAATATATCTTCCCACCGCGGAGGTCAGCATGGGCAGCAGCTACTCAAAACAACAACAAGGGATAATTTTGGGGTACGGGGGGCCCTCTGCAGCTACAGAGGGGGTGGGGGTCCCTTGCAAGCTGGTGGGCCACATCGGCTCAATTTCAATTTATTTATTTGTTTGCTGCATTTATATCCCTCCTTCATCTTCCAAGGAACTCAAGGTGATGTGCATCAGTTCTCCTCTCCCCCGTTTCATCCTCACAACACCCCTGTGATGTGGGTTAGGCTAAGAGAGGGTGGCTGCCCCAAGGTCACCCAGTGGAGCGTCATGGCTAAGTGGGGTTTCAAACGCAAAATCCTAAAAATACAGTGGTACCTCGGGTTAAGTACTTAATTCGTTCCAGAGGTCCATTCTTAACCTGAAACTGTTCTTAACCTGAAGCACCACTTTAGCTAATGGGGCCTCCTGCTGCCGCCGCACCGCCAGAGCGCGATTTCTGTTCTCATCCTGAAGCAAGGTTCTTAACCCAAGGTACTTTTTCTGGGTTAGCGGAGTCTGTAACCTGAAGCGTCTATAACCCGAGGTCCCACTGTATGAAGTTAGCCCCTTGAGAAGGCTCTGGGTTGTGGAAGTGGCCGCTGTCACCCTTTGGATGTTACTGGTCTCCATCAGTCACAGAGGGCATGGCCAGTGATTAGTTTGGGAACAGAGGTGGGGAACCTCAGGCCTGGCATAAGGCACCTTCCTGTGTTCTTGTTATGCAAAATGGCTTTAGCTCAGTGGGAGAGCGTCTGCTCTGCATGCTGAAGGTCCCAGGTTCAGTCCCTCACCCTGGCTTCTCCTAGTAGGGCTGGGAGAGGCCCCTGCCTGAAACCCCCATAATTGCAGACAATACTGAAATAAATGGACCAGTGCTCTGATTCGGTGGGAGGTAACCTTTACTGCTTAGTAAAGGGTAAAGGGACCCCTGACCATTAGGTCCAGTCGTGACCGACTCTGGGGTTGCGGCGCTCATCTCGCTTTATTGGCCGAGGGAGCCGGCGTACAGCTTCCGGGTCATGTGGCCAGCATGACTAAGCCGCTTTTGGCGAACCAGAGCAGCGCACGGAAACACCATTTACCTTCCCGCCAGAGCGGTACCTATTTATCTACTTGCAGTTTGGCGTGCTTTTGAACTGCTAGGTTGGCAGGAGCAGGGACTGAGCAACGGGAGCTCACCCTGTCGCGGGGATTTGAACCGCCGACCTTCTGATCGGCAAGTCCTAGGCTCTGTAGTTTAACCCACAGTGCCACCCGCGTCCCTTCTTACTGCTTAGTACTCTGCGTAAAAAAAAGAAAGAAAATCAGAGTGGGAGACATCAGCACAGACCTTTTACAGAGAAAATTACCCCCGTTGCACTGCACATCCTCTCCCTGATCAGCTGGCAATGCCTTCTGCCACTAGGGGTCCCCAGACTTTTGAGGGTTCCCAGGGAGGCATGTTTTGGCAGCATGAGAAACTGCCATGGGCACTGTTGCCATGTGGGCTTGACAAATCACGAAGACAAAAAAATATGGGTCACCTAGATGGAGGCACACGGAAAACAAAGCAAAAAGGCAAACACGTCTCCCCCCTCTCTCCGGAAATGCACATTAAAAGCCAGGCAAGCCACACAAGCACACACACTCCAGCCTGCCTGAAACAGCAAAACCCATATGCCAAAATCAAAACCCTGAAACAGGCAACACCCAAAGGACCTTGTCTTGTAAATCTGCCCCTCCCAAAGCAAAACCTCATACAGGTTTGAACGAGGAAACAAGTGAAATAAAAGTGTAGAAAGCTGCCTCCTTATCAGGTCCTTCTAGCCTAGCATTGTCTGCACTCACTGGCAGCTCTTCAGGATCTCCAACAGAGAAAGGCCTTCTGCACCACTAGCTACTCAATCCTCTTAACTGGAGTTGTGGCTGTTCAAACCTAAGGCCTTGGTACTCAGGACCTCCTTCCCTTCCCCTGCAGCACAAACCAGCAAGAAAGGTGTGGAAGGAGGCAAAAGACCCCAAACCCTTTGATTACCACAGCAAAAGGGCACAGGCTTGAAATAACTGCATAGCTTTCTGCTTCTTTGCCCTGCCTCCATTTCCCTCCCGCTGCTGTTGTTTTCCCCTGTGTCTTATTGTAAGCCCCTTGGGTTCAGGGACCTGTCAGACCTGTGCCTTCTAAAGCAACCGAGCTGTAAAGCTCAGGGAGGTTTATTCAGGCACCTGCTTTCAGTGCTGCAGGGAGGAGACAGCATGAAGCAGAGAGCCCATGTGCATGTGCAGAGTGCCGCTCCTTGCTCACTCCAGTCCTGATGTATCTGGGATTATGAGGAACTGTCTTTCAGAGTGTGTAACTTTCTCAGAAAGGCTGGAGTCTCCAGAGAGTCTTTCTGAAGACAAAGTTGGGCAGGGGCGGGGTGTTTTTGAGGCCCAGACTGACTCCAGCTACAAAAGCTGAGGCTGCTGAACAGACTCATGGGCTGGGGTATTGTTTAGAGCTTTTTGTTACTGTTTTTGATTTCAATCTTTCAGTATTTTTATTTTTAGATCTTACGATTTGTGTGGAAATTTGGTTGCCTACTTTTGGATGTGTTTTGTTTATTGTTTATGAGTACTTTTGTTATGTCTGTAATTATGTAAATCGCTTAGTGAGCCACCTTGAGCATAGTTTTAACTATGGAAAGGCAGCATTCAAATAAGATGATGATGATGTTGATGATGATGATGAAGAAGAAAGTGAGTTGGGATGGCGGAAGAACCAAGCTTTTTTGCCATCTTCCTGAAACGAGAAGAATAGGCAGTGGCTAGGAGCCAAGTGACAATAGGTTTTTCAAAGCCAGATGAAAGACTGGAGTTGAAATCGTTCTCCTTGCCAAAGGAGCAAGCCAACTGCTAGCAGCTGTGAAACCCTTGATGGATCTGCCAATACTGATGCAATGAAATCTAAGTTTTATGTTTGTACAGCAGGCTGCACGCCCCTCTCTAACCTGCATCCAGACAAGCAAGAGGCGTGCTCAGAGTTCAAGGACAAATTCCAGCCAGGCAAAAGCATTCACAGATTATGTGGAGCAAGGCTGGCAAGGGGTGTGGCCTGGAGAGAGGAGTGGCTAGTGAAGAGACGGAGCTTGAATCATAGAATCAAAGAATTGTAGAGTTGGAAGGGACCCAGGAAGCTCATCTAGTCTAACCCTCTCAAGTTCAGGAATCTTTTGCCCAGCATGGGGCTCAAACCCTTGACCCTGAGATTAAGAGACTCATGCTCTATCAACTGATCCACTCTGAAGAGAACCCCAAGGCCTGATAGACATCCTGGAGGGCCTCATTCAGCCCCTAGGTCTGAGGTTCCACTCCCCTCCTCTATACCATCCTTCTGCCATGCCAGAAGGGGCAATAATATCCCACTGAGAGATGCTTTTGATGGCTGCCCCACGACTAGAGGCTTCCTTCTTCTGGACGCTCTCCGAAGGCTGAGTAACCTCTAGGAACGTTGGGTCTGGGCTGGCAGAGAGAGAACGTATTTCTGAGTCAGTGTCCTTCCCTCTGTGGGCCAGAGGCAAGTGTGGAGCAGCCCAGTCTGGGGTTTTCCTGGTTCCAAACTGTGTTGTGTTGGAGACTTGGGAGGAAAGGTGGAAAAGACCTGAGGAGGATGCAGGGTTTTCGCAAAGCCAACCGCATGGCGCCAAAGGCTGCTGGGAGGCAAAACATGCACAGCAGCCATTCCCTATAGCAGGAGCAGGAAACCGTTTTGACCTCTGAGGCCACATAACATGGGTGGGCAGGGCCAGCGGCAAAAGCAGATGAGGCAATGAATGCAAATGTTACTCGGTGAACACAGCAGGGCTTGCTTCTGAGCAGATACGCCTGAGATGACACTGCTTTGCTCATGTGGTTTATTACTTAGGGGCAGTGAGAGAGGTTTTGCTGCTTCTAAGGCATTGTGCTGTCTGCTGGAGCCTAGCTGAAGAGATTGATGGGGGTGGGGACATAGAAAAGCAGGCTGGAGGTTTCTGCTAAAATAATTTATAAGTTCCTTGTTCCCATGTACTCCAGAAGTGTCTGGAAGAGGCTATCTATCTATCATCATCATCTATCTATCCAAAAGCACCTCTTTTGCCAAAAAGGCACACTCTCTCCATCTGCCTGTCTCGCTCTCTGCTTCATCACCCGTCTCCTTGGCGTCTTTCCCCACTGCAGGAGTCTTAGGATGACTCATCCCCAACTTAGCTCACCCAGCGCTGAGTCATGGTTTCCGCTGCAGGGGGAGAAGGGCCAGGTGGAGGGGAATCAAGGGCCTGAGGCGGGAAGCAAGGGGTGTGTGGCGTGTGTTGTCTAGGGAACTGCAGGCCCTCTTCCCCAAATCTAGCTCCTGCTTTCTAATAAGCTTCAGACCACGAGACCAGCTGTGTTCAGCCAGAATAATTTTTGACAATTCCCCTTTTGCCCTCCCGGTCCCATCTCTATATGATTGGGTGCCTTTTCTACTCCTAGATTCCTCCCACGCTCCACACCATAGACCGAAAGGAAGATGAAGTCCACCATTGGTATTGCAGTCCTCGTGACAGGTAAAACTCATTCCTTCTACTGATGTCAAGGGTGCCACTTCCTTACATGAAAAGTATTTTTTTGAAAAAATGCCTTGGTTCTCAAACACCTTGGTACTCAAACAACTTGGAACCCAAACACTGCAAACCCGGAAGTAAGTGTTTGCGAACTTTTTTCAGAAGCTGAACATGCTCCGTTTTGAGTGTTACGCTTCCATTTTGAGCGCCACGCTTCTGTTTCGAGTTTTACACTGAGGTCTGCCTATTTTCGCAGTTTATTTTGCGTTTTTGCAGCTCTTTTTTGTTTTGTTTTTGTGACTGTGTGCAACCCAGTTCAGCTACTGATCGATCGATTGTGTGACTGCAGTACATTGTTTATTGCTTTCATTTTATGGATCAGTGGTCTCGTTAGATAGTAAAATTCATGTTAAATTGCTGCTTTAGGGATTGTTTTTAAAAGTCTGGAACGGATTAATCCGTTTTGCATTACTTCCTATGAGAAAGAGCGCCTTGGTTTTGGAACGCTTTGATTTTCGAACAGACCTCTGGAACGGATTAAGTTTGAGAACCAAGGTACCACTGTAAATGAATCAAAACAATAGAAAACAGTCCCCCCCAAAGGAGGTGGTGTCCTTGCAGTGACCCAGAAAGAGAGACCCGAAAGGGATGCTCCCCTTTGATGAGTTAATTAACCTAACTTGATGGATTAAAAATGCTCTTGTATTAATTTCAACTCCTAACTGATGAGGCTGCAGGGATTGCAGCTCAGCTCTGCAGATCATTGTTTCTCCCTGTGTTGGTGAAAACCTCTTGCCTTCCTCAGTGCTCCAAGTTGCCCGCTGCCAGAGGATTAGAAGCCTGACCGCTTGCATGAGCGACCAAAGCCTGCGCTTGGACTGTGCGTACGAAAAGAAGACTTCGAATGCCCTGAGCTACGACTTCCGCCTGAGCAGGGATGCCGGTGTGGGGGTTGTTGTTGCCAGCAACCAGAACGTCCCCAACGCCATGTACAAGAACCGGGCCAACGTCACTGTGTCCAACAACCTGGTGTGCCTTCACCTCGCGGGCTTCACCACCGCCGATGAGGGGACCTATGTGTGCAGGCTGAAGATCACCAACGATTATGAGGATAACCAGATGAAGAACATCTCAGTTTTCAAAGGTGAGGAGGCCTGGATGTGAGGCAGGAAAAGAATTAAGAGGAGCTGGTCTTGGTCCTGAAACGGGGTGGATGGGTGGGAGAGAAATTCAATCTCGTTTCCATCTTAACAAGAAACTTCCCAATTCACAATTAGACCAGAACACAGCTAACCTTCAAAATTCACACTTCTCCACATTTTGCAGTGCCGTTCTTAAGCCGAATAATGTGCACAGAAATGGAAATCCTGGGGATAACATGCAAAAAAAAGGCACCTATTTTAGTGAAAACGAGACCAAAATTATTGTATTGTGGGAAGTTGCTGGCGAAAATGTGTATATTTGTCTAAATGGTGTAGCAGGAGAAATTCCACACTAAACTGCTGTCAAACTTTGATGAACTTTTCTTTTTTTAAGAAGCAAATTGCTGCAGAATTGTGGAGAACTGATATTAAGGCTGGATAAGAATGAGAAATTCGCAGAACCAAAAATGGATGGGTCTGTTCATCCATAAGGGTGGTGAAGTGTGAATGCAGGCAAAGATGTTTATTGGGTTAGATTTAAGACAGGAGGCAAAGTAACCCACCCAAATTCACAGGGGGTGGAAGGGAGGGTAGAAATCAGGTAGGCACATTTTTGGTGATTTATTTTGGGTTCATGACTTTATTTTATTATCATCCTTATTAAGAATGGCACAATGAGTTAAAGTAAATAGAAAAAAAATAAAAAGAATACATAAAAAAACTTTTTAAAAGGCAAAGGAAAACAACAGCAAGAATATGGCAAGGAAATATATTTATGGTTACGGAACTATATAATGTGTATGTAAATGGATAAACTTATGGTTTCCCTCAAGTCTGCCTTGACTCACGGGTCACTATGGTTTTGATAAATACTTTCCAAATATCATTAGATTTGTCCATACGTCGTCTTCGATCCGTTTGTGGATTGCAAGAGTTGTCATATCTATCTATGACTTTATTGAATGATTCTGATAGACTGATTGCCATTCCCAAGGTGATTTCCCTTAAAAAAAATGCTTAAACAAGTAGACGGCATAAAAGAGAAGGTCGGGATCCCCAGGCCCAGTGTTTTCACCTGGAAAACTAATGCAGCCCTTTCCCCACGTCTGAATGTGCCCTTTGTTTCTTACAGACAGGCTGGAGAAATGCGCAGGAATCAGCCTCTTGATCCAAAACACCTCCTGGCTGCTGCTGCTGCTGCTCTCGTTGCCTCTCCTGCAAGCTGTGGATTTTGTGTCCCTGTAAAGAAGGAGAAGCGAGCGAAATGGGGAGAGGGAGGGAGGGAGGGAGGGAGGGAGGGGATGGGGAGAGCTGGCTCGGAGCGGACTTAAACCCAACAGAGCATCGTGGCCCTTTCCTTTTTTCATTGTTGTTCTTGTTCCAGAAAGAGGCAGCCGATAAGGAGGACGGTTTGACGCCAAACCCCGATTGTATCTCTTAATATTATCTCTCTATATCTCTATATAGCCGCATAGCTGATGAAAGTGACTGATTTGCGCTAAAAGCCAGTATCATGCCGCTACATTCAAGCAATGGGTCACCAGTGGGGACGGACAGGAAAAGGAGGGGGGGAATCCTCAGCACCCCATCCGGAAATCAAGCATGGCAGAATTTATGTGCCACTGCCCTTTCTTTTTGTTTTGTCCCACCCCATGGCAACTTTGACTATTTTGGTTCCTCTCTTTTTTTTGCCCAACTCCCCCAAATGTGCCCTGCTTTTTGAGGGTGCTGCTGGTTTTCCGCAGCTTTGTCTTAGAGACTCGAGGGAAGGAGGCAATGCCAGCAAGCCTCAGCATGCTTTTAAAATTTTAAACCAAAGAGGTGTGCAGCAAAACGTAGAGGGGGCAGGCAGGAGGGTTCAGCCCCACGTGGGCATAGAGCAGGGGTAGCCAACGGGATCTTAGACTCCAACTCCCATCAGCGCCCAGCCTGCGTGGCTGTTGACCAGGTATCATGGAAGTTGTGAGGGCGACAGCATGCATTGAGAGCCTGCGTATTTCTTGCAAACCACTTATAGGTTTAAGTACAATCAGTGTATGCATTTTGTTAAATGAAATAAATTAACTTTTCGAGGACAGCCACACTGCCTACACGCAGAATGTCCTTTCCCCTCTGAAGTCCACAGCAGTCTTTATTGCAGCGTGGCCTTCTTATCTGCTGGGAACCCTCCGCAAGAGAATGGGAAATCTCTTGCACCCAGGGTTAGGTTGCAAAAGGAATAGCAGAAGCTTGCAAATTTACTACCGGGGGTGGGCACTGGCTGCTGAACGAAGGAGTCATAGCTTTAGTGGCATGGAAGTCATGTGTTTGCATGCAAAAGGCTCCAGATTCAATCCCTGCCAACCTGTCACTGAAAGCTGTTTGCCAGGGACCAGCAGTGAGGGAGAGAGTTGTATGCTGTGACTTTCATTTGTTTGTTTTCATGCACGGCTTGTGGGCTTCCCAGTGTGGGCAAGTGAAGAGTTGGGTGCTGAGCTCAGGCGCAACTGACCCAGCAGGGCTCTTCTTACATTTCGGAGAGCCTGGAGTGCAGCAGTGGGTGGGTGAGCTTCAAATTTGCCCATCATTTGCTCTGCATAACAGGATCCTCAAATTGGCTGGGTTTGCGTGAAGGAGAATTAAAATTATTCCTAGCCCAAGCAACTGCTTTGCTAACCCTGGTTTGTTTGTTTTTTTAAGGAAGATTTTAAAATTATTATTGTTGCACGGCACCCCAGTCTCCAAGTGATGTGAGATTCCAGAGGTTCCAGCTGCTTACCCAGGGTTCGTGAAAATGAGGCATGGCAGAGACTGTGTTGCCTTTAATATATATGGTTTATTTACACATATATACAACCTGAGCCTATGAAGGTCACAGCTTCAGCATCCGAAAAGGGTCATGTTTCTCCCATAGTCACAGCCTTGGATTTAAACAGACATCAAATATTGCTTTCTAACATTGCTCTCGCTCTCTTTCTTCAGCTTGCTGCTTTCCTTCTAGGACACATCTCTCCTCACCTCTCAACCCTAAACTCTGGCTTTATCTGTTGAGGGAGGGGGACCCACCCATTCGCAATCTAGCACAAGCCCTTAGGTCTTTTGTTCTCTTAATGGCCCATCACACAGAAGGCTAGCCTGACTTGATTAGCCTTTGAGCACTTGCTGAAACCAGAGATTAGATGCTTCTAGCATTCCGTTTAACACCCCAAGCCTCGGTTAAACACTTAATGGATCCAGGGATTAGAGTGGTCTGGCATCCACAAATTCATAACACTACCCCCCCCCCAAAAAAAAAAAATCAGACACCTGTCCACACATTTTCAACAAACAGCAAAATATCTCTTCCCTGTAGAAAATTCACAGACAAGTAAGCCAAGGCATTAGAACACACATTGTTAAAAACAGATAATAATACACAATGACACTTTTAACCCAACCCAGTACTGAGTACAGTAACAGCTTATTCCTTTCAAACAAGTCAGGCTTTCTCCTTTCTCCTTAGCACACACTCTGAGTCAGTTCTGCGTTCCACACTTGGCATGTCCAAGATAGTGAGTTTTGACATGTTTAAGCCAGGATACAGCTCTCAGCACCCTTGTTCATTCTTTCCCTTGTGCTCTTGCTGCACAAGGCAGCTTTCAAACATACAGTTAGCTGAACAGTTCCTACAAATCATTCAACAGCACCAAACATGCAAAAAACACAAATCAACAGCATTCAGAAAATAAATAAAACTTACTAAAACTTCCAGGATGGTCCCCGGCAGCAATTTGTCTGTTTGTCTTGGGATTTCACAGAGTTCTCAGTTCCAAGTAGATCAACAGTTACTTTGGGGCTCGAATCACACATTCAGCGTTTGTTTTTCAAATTTCTCTTTCCCCTCCCCTCTGGTTGTGGATCGGAGGCTCCAAACTCCAGTCCCCAAACAGTCTCTGCAGCGGCATGCAGGGCTTCAAGAAACAATAATAATAATTTATTATTTGTACCGCACTCATCTGGCTGGGTTTCCCAGGAACACATCTGCTTCTGCACTGGCACACTGATGGTCCCCTTCAACTTTTTTCCTCTGGCTAACCCTGGGCCAGTCCACTTCATCCCCTGCCCCCAAACTGCAAATCAAAGTCTTTACCTGGGGATACCTTCATTAGGATCAGACCCCCTAAGTTGGTGGCCAGAAATTGCCCTCTGTTTCCTCCCAACAGCCAGGCATCCCCTCTCTGCTTACTCCCAACACCTCCTGAACGCTTCCCAACACCCATGGGATCCTGGGTGACTGTGGGTGCTGGGCTGCACCCAGTACAGTCATACCTCTTGTTACGTTCAGTTCAGGTTACATCTTTTCAGGTTGCGTCCTGCAGCGACCCGGAAGTACCGGAAAGTGTTACTTCCAGGTTTCGACGCTTGCGCATGCGCAGACGCGCAAAATGATGTCACGCACATGCGCAGAAGCGGTGAATCGCCACCCGTGCGTGCACAGACACAGGTAGCGTTCCTCTCAGGTTGCGAACGGGGATCCGGAACAGATCCCGTTCGCAACCAAAGGTACCACTGTATAGCGATGGGTCCCGACTGTGCAAGTCCACAAGGGGCAAAATCATTGTGGGCGGTTATCGCATCCATTTCCTCAGACACCAGCTGCTCTTCTTGCATGCTCTCTCACACCTCTCTCACAACTCCAATTTCTCCTGCTGCATCTCTTCTCTTTTTGGCACCTCGGCAGGCCACTTATGCCTCTAGCTTTTCCAGTGTCTTTTCCACCACTGAGAAAAACACCGCTGCTCTACTTGCGCACGAATATTCACACCTCTCTTTTTCTGGCCCCTCCGCAAGTGCAGATTCCCCTTGCTCACACACGCGCACCTTGTGTCTCTCCCCCTCCACCGCTGGCACTCAGGGAGTGAAGAGATCTCTAGGCAGCAGCTCTTCACTTCCATCCTGCAGTGTGTCCTCTGCTGAGGCACCTTCCACCTGCACTCTCCTTTTTCCACATCAGGCTCCGAGGGAGTGGAGAAATCAGTCAGCAGCAGCTGCTCAGCTCCAGCCAGCTGGAGGCGTTGTCTTTCCCCTTGCCTTCAGCTACTAACTTTGTGGTCCAAGCCCCTCAGCTGGTCTGTTTGGCCACCCTTCCATCTAGGCGTCTTGTAGCTGAGCTCCTGTGTCACTTCCAAACCCCTGTAGCATCTCATGAGGCAGGGCTCTCACCTCGCACCTAGTCATGCTTTCATATCCACGGGGAATTCGGGGCCACTCTGCCAGCAGCTGACCCATTTTATCCAACCGCCTGCTTTGTTGCTGCTTCACTCTCTTAAGCCACTCAAGGAGGGTTGCTGTTGTTCCCTCCGATTCAGGCACTCATCTCTCATAGGTCCTCCTCCAGGAAACCCAAATCCCAACTTCTGACACCAGTGTTGCACACCAATCCAATCTCTGAGCAATTCAAGATTCCGGGGTTCCAGGAGCTTACCCAGGGTTTGTGTTTCCTTTAGGAAATGAGGCCTGGTAGAGACTGTGTTGCCTTTAATATATATATGGTTTATTTATCTATGATATATTGTTTATTTATTAAACTACGATGGAGGGGTTCACAGCATCAGCACCCCAAAAGGGTCTTGTTTCTTCCATACCTACAGCCTTGGATTCAAACAGACATCAAACATGGCTTTCTAATGTTGCACTCTTTCTCTCTCTCCAGCTTGCTGCTTTGCTTCTAGGGCACATTCCTTCTCACCTCCCTACTCTAAACTCTGGCTTTATCCATTGAAAAAGGCTCCCCACCCGTTTTTCATCTAGGACAAGCCCTTTGGTCCTTTATTTTCTTAATGGCCCATCACCCAGCAGCCTAACCTATCTCGATTAGCTTTTAACACTTGCTGAATCCAGGGATTAGAAGTGTCTAGTACTCAGTTTAATACTCCAAGCCTTGATTAAATTCTAACACTTACTGGATCCAGGGAATAGAGAGGTTCTGGCACCCATAACTCATAACATTATTAAGTATCAGGGCAAAGCTTTCCAGTTAACCCAGCCCAAGGTGACCAGTTTTTAGTCTGTCAGCAAAACAGATCTTGGTCTTTTCTCTGAAGAAAAGCCTAGTGTGTCAAAGAAACCACCTTGCACAATTGGCCCACCTTGCCTAGTATTATGGGCACTGACTGGCAGCAGCTCTCAGGGGTTTCAGGCAACAGTTCCAGGAGGCGACAAGGATTGAACCTGGGACCTTTCCATGCACAGCAAGATGTTCTTCCACTAAGCCATAGCCCTCCATCTTTCAGCTGGGAAGCATAGCTGAGCAGCT